GCCCTTTCATGGAGTGTAGTCATTGCCACAGATGACATAGGTTTAAAGAAATATCCATTTTATAAGAACCGAACGACCTCAACATTCAAAATTACTTTTATGACGACTTTTTTTCATTTATTTTTATGTCATTATTTGACTCGATGTGTATTACGCTTTTTAGCAATTGTGCATGAGTCGGACCTTCGATTGTCTTTGAATTTGCTTACATCCCATCCTATTGTAAATGTCCAAACTAAATAAATTTAAATCTGTGCATTTATGTAAATTAATTTTAGGATTTTTATTAACTTTGGCATAAAATTGTGGTTTTTATAAAATGAGTTCAAGGTAGTTAGATAATCCACTGTCTCAGAGTAAATCAATGTAAACCTTGTGAGAAAATCACGTTTTTATAGAAAATGTGTATTTGTTAGCTAAAAATAATACACTATAGGTAATTTTTTACCTACAGATTAAAAAAAAATTATATCTACTATTTCGCTGGTCCAACAATTAAGAATCGTTTGTAATATTTTTTGCTGTGTTCTCTTGAAAGATAAAATCATTTCGCAACATAATTATCTTTATGCTACTTAATTCGTTTTGTTCGAGATGTATGTGCTGATGCCGTTTTAAAAATTAATAAAATGTTTACAACGCGAAAATAAATAGAATGTTAGTAATTTTTTGGCGGATAAAAAAATATATAATTCGCGTTGTGAACCGTTAAAAGTGTGTTATTGAAATGTGTCCTACTGGCATAAAATACAGACAATATTGAACAAGTAGCTCTATCGAAGTAAATCTGCTAGACTCGCTAAGAATCAAACCCACGATGCATCGATTATTTCAAAGAACTCTTCACAATTATACACTTACATTACACACTCATATACAATTCTACAGTTACATTACACAGCGATATATACAGCTGCAGTATTACAATGGTCTTAGTAACTTTAATACGTGCTTTTCCGCACCGGAATGTTATAAATCGGAAACAGTATTACATTAATAATAAATATTCGAAACAATAGCAGTGGCTGGGTCAGTAAATATTGCATGATGTTCCGGTGAAAGAAAGAGAGTAGTTTCCCGGAACAAAGGCAACGCAAGGTACGCGGTACCATCTTGATATATTACTTATTTTGATTGTGGAGAAATATTCTGCCATTGTGCTCGTGTGTTATTCATTGCGATTGTTACTTTTGTTTACATTTCGTATGCCCATAGCCAAAAAAGGCCGACGGCGCATCGTGTCTCTCATCTATACTAATATCATAAAGGGTCTCCGGCGCGTACGCTGCGAACAGGGTTCAAGATACCCAAAAAGTATCTATCAAAGACTGATTCCTCTTTAAATGCGACAGTATATGTCTATCTTTTAAGACACAGTATATCATATATCTTTTAAGATTAACTTGCAAGAGAGTCGAGACGCGGGCAACGTCGTGGGTGACAGCTATGATTTTTTAAAGAAGTGGAGGGGGTTTGCCAAAACAACCTTTTGATGTCCAAAATAACTATTCTACGCGGACGAAGTCGCTGACCCAGCCAGTACATTGCTACCATTGAACCAAGAGGCCCAAAACCAATCCGATCGAAAGATATTTTTGCTAGTCATTCCGTAACAGCCGTTAAAAATACACTCGAATGAAATACACTTTTTAAAATGACGTCGTAATAACGCTCGTTGAAAATAAGAGTGCAATTTCCCAAAACTTAACAACGGTTCAAAAAGCCATCGCCATGTGGTTATTGCATTTCGCGGACGCGTTCGCAGCGAAATGTGAGTTTTATTACTTATATTATTTCTCTCTATGTGCCTACGACTAGTGCGAGAATATATTTCACTTCTGTTATAATTGTCACTGCGCTCACGGAAACGCTAACATTACAGCTATATACGTTAATAAACATTTTTAAAGGTTAAAGACGAGATATATTTGTTAATTGATTAGTTGTGTTAGCTAGTGCTGCTGAAAAAGCAAAATGGCGATCAGAAAGTTATTTTTATGACAGATATTAACTAATTGAAAGAATTTACGTTAAATGTTGTTTTCACTAATTTATTTACAGTTTTATAAAGACATACGCAATATAAGCAATAAAAGTAGTTTATCTGTTCTGTATGAAAAATAAGATATGTGTTAAATCCCGTTTTCCGATGGTGGGCATGGGGCGAACACATTTCTGTGTCCGTTTCACTGATCTGTTCTTTAACAGGCAATTAGTTGATCAGACTTCTGTGGCCTGTCCGACCGCAACATTTCTTTGTTTCCCTGGGATTCGAACCCAGGATCTCTCGCGCTTAACGCAATGCTAAGCAATACGTTTAACCATTTGGCTACAGAGGCGGTCATATCCTTCGAAAGATAAGTTAGGTATGTTGAATTTATTTCTTTGTCTGTCCTTACACGCATATTAGGTAAAACGTAAGGTTCTGTTTAAGGGAAAAACGATAAAGGATTGAAAGCCTTTTGCCAATAATATCTAGATAAAATAGTAATAAGTTATTGTGTCATTAAACTAGACAAATATTGGTCCTTAAACATAACTCGCAAAAGATGTCACATGCTAACTAGATCAATCACTTGATTATTTTTATTGTAGTAACTTCTTTTCATTATAATCATATTTCACAATCCAGCTTAGAAGTGTAACGGAGGTTAAACGTGTTACCTAGCATTGCATTAAGCGCGATAAGTCCTGAGTTCGAATCCCAAGGAATCAATATATTGTTTAGGTCGGGCAGGGCATAGGAGTCGATCAGTCAAACAAATACAGACATGTATTCGTCCCATGACCCACGTGGGGTGGTTATGGTGTTTCCACTACCATCAAGTGAATCCCGGGCTTGTATGTCCTTCTCTATCATAGAAAAAAACTCCGTATCGTATAAGTGGTATGAAGCAGTCTATCACCTTGAATCTCGTCTCGGACCATTAAAATAAAATAAAAAAATGCGCCTACACAAAAGATTACTTCGCAAAACGTGACTAAGTACGCACATATTTGCTTGTTGAATTAATTCCGCTATCATTTTAAAAACCGCACTGAATATTTATTCAATGAAAAATATGGGAGGTGCCGTGAAAAATCGTGTTCACGCGTGAAATTTACGAGTGACTGAAATTCGTAAATTTAAACATAATATTGTTCTTTGTACGTGAAAATTATAATGTTTTTGTCGTTTTCAATATATAGCTAATAACCTCGCGGGTTTAAATTCGATTTCCACCGGTTCACTTTCGAAAATAAATTTCTGAGTTTTCTAAAATCTCGATTATAACGATGACTAGGTATTCATAAGCCAAATATGCCGACAGCGCATAAGGTTACTTAGTATTTCAATACTGTCTGTAATTTACGCGAGTAGTACTCATTTAAATAAAACAATTTAATGGTTTAAAACGAAGTGTATATTAGTGAAAATTATTTAGAAATTATATTACCGACGTTTCGCCTGATTTGCAGCAGCCTGTGGTTACGGAGAGACTACCCGTTAGAGTGATTTATATTAAATCTATACTTATTATATTAGATATTTTAGTACCGGCGAAAGGACATAGGCTTTAGACTAGACTTTTTAATCCTAAAAAGGGTTGATAGGGGTTGAAAAAGGGGATGAAAGTTTGTATGGAAATTCGTGTTTTTTTAAGCTAGAACAATGTAACTTTTTCATTGGCTTTTTGGGAATAGGAGTGGGAGTGGGAGTGAGTGTAGAAATGAGAGTGAGAGTTAGAGTAGGAGTGATGTGAGGTGAGAGTGTTGCGGCAAAGTAGTTAAATGCGTCCTTCATAAATTAATAAACAGCCTCAATAATTAAAAATTCTACCCTAAGTCACCATTCCACGCGGACGAAGTCACGGGCATAGCTAGTTCAATATAAAGATAGGCAATAAAACAATATTATTCTTTAAAATGTTTAATATTTTAGGTGTCAATTGCACAATATGACTATAGTCTTTACATATTCTCGTATTAAAATCACACGCGCTCTCCGCTAATGCATCTAGACTTTAAAAACACATAAAAATCAATTCCTTGACTAATAAATATAGGTAAACTATTGCAAGTACAATTTGATTCATGACTTATAACAATATCATATTCAAAATATGCTTAATAGGAGACACGAATTTTGCGATCTGAACGATGTTCTATCGTGTATTAGTATAAAACTTCTGCTTTTGTAGATTTTCTCAATTCTATACCAATTCTTTTGAAAAAAAAAAAAAAAAATGAATATAGAGAAGAAAGGCAACAGAAAAATAATGCAATGCAGTGAAAAAGAAATAAAACAAATGCAAAAAAAGACATTTTATATAATGACTGGCACAATTCACTAAAATTACATTGTATACCGTTTTGACGGCCATTTTGTTAAGCTACTTAGATTTTTGAGCTGTTCACAGCTTGAGAAATGTTTCGCCATCGGTAGTGGATTAACACACAAAGACGTTAAGCGTCCTCTACTATGTGAATATCCTCCATTTTTTAAGCTTAATACTTAAACAGAGAGGTTAGGAGGACATCTTCCGGACCTCAAGATTCGTGTCTCCAATTATACATAATAATTTACTGTGTAAGCAACTCAATTCCCTAGAACACATAGTACGTTGGTATTAACGCGAATTGAAGTTATGCCACCTCTACTACGAAACCCGTAGAACCGTAGTGGAACTTTCAAACTTCACCCAATATGTAGAATCCCTTTAACATACACATTTTGGCACTATCTGCTTATAGAATAATAGTTATTAACGCTTCAGTCCTCTTTATTTAATTGTTAAAATTTAATTTATAAAACAATATTGTTATCTAATATTAATTATACATAAGTTCTACATAGAGCTGGTTCTCTCTGATTCCTGCTCCTCCTTTAATGTGTAAACTGAACGACGAATCGCACCACCATTGAGTCTAGACCTTGAAACATGATGGAGTACTTCTGGTAGCATCTCACCATCTGACGAAAGTAGTGACTCATCAGTTAAATTACCGCTCTCATCTCGTCAAGAACGCTGCAAGAACTCCGGGGTCAGAACTTTCTGGGTTGCACTTCGGACAAACTTTTCTTGGTGTCTTAATCTATGAACGATTTCATCATGCAGTATGTTGAAACACATGGCGGTTAGAGCGAGACCGGTTATAATGTAAATAGAACAGAACCAGACCGTGCCAGAAGATGCACCGTTCCTCTGAGTGACACCTGGCGCCAGATGACCGAAACCAATAGTACTCAGGCTCATAAAACAAAAGTAAATACCGTCAACTGGACTCCAACCTTCCAACTGGTACAATATAAGAGCACCAAATGAAATATACGTGAAAATAGCCGCAAGACATAAGGAAATAGGGGCTAAAATCGAAAACCCACGAAGTGAAACCTTCGAATCTGTGTCCGTGCAACTCATAGAATCACAGTCCCTGAGAAAATTTAATCCCACGTTTTTGTCCTTAATCGAATTAGTACTAAGGCTATTTGCTTGTGACGCTGATATAATTGTGCCCGATGGTGACCTAACATAATATGGTTCTTGCAAGTGCAGCGTTTGAGTTCTAAAATCATCAGGCCGTCTCACTTTTTCTTTTCGATCTTTAGTAATAATGACATTTTCATCCAGACAACAGTATCCACACTTAACACAGAGACAGCAGCATAATGCTCTGCTAAATATGCTCCTTGCTAGCCTAGATAACAGAGCTCCAACTACAGACAAATATAAAAGTGTTAATGGTATTCCAATGACTGCGTACACGATTGTTATGATTTTTCCCAAAGCTGTCTTCGGCGCAACGCTACCATACCCTGAAATAAAGAATTATATCATTATCCTATTCAATAAGGAAGGGAAGATCAAATGTTTTTTATATAAGATACATATACATACCAATAGTTGTAAGAACCGTCAACGAATACAAAAAGGCTTTGGAAAAATTCCATTCATAGTCATCTATGATATAAGCTGGTACGGATTCCAGGGTTCTTGCACCACCGTACTGTTCTGTTACATCAGCGGTAACCCTAGCAACTAATTTATCCTGGAATCGCGCAATTTCTTGTGCTGCCAGTCTGGTCCAGTTTTCTTTGTATAAAATGTTTAGGGAGACTGTTATCTCCCAAATACTTTCAACTGTTTGCGATCTCAATTCAGCGGAAGCTTGTGCGATGCTATTATTTACTTTAGACAATGCTATGGGTTTTTTGTTTTCACTGGCCTGATAAGAAGTTGTTGCCAATGTTTTTTGATGTATTTTCGCAGCGCCCCCTTCAATGGCTAAGAATATGAAGGCTCCTAGCAACGTATATATTAGAAGAATTATGAAAATTCCAAGATTTGTGATACACCCTGCGATCAAGCTTTTCTTCTTACTTTTCTTTGTTTTTATACAAAGACAACATGTCGTTATAACATCGTCACTATCTGATTTTGGGCTTTTCTTATATTTTCCATTTACATGGTTCTTTTTCTTGGTCTTATCCATCTCTCATTTCTTTTGATAAGTTTAATGTGATACCTGAAACAAAAAAAGGTTTTTAATTTTAATTAATTCCTTAAACGTTGAATGTCCAAAGCCAAAAGACGTCGATAACGCATCTTGTGTAGATGTCATATGGCAGGAACATTTGACCTTCTATCCAGTTGGAGTTCAAAGACATTATAACAACTTATATTACAGATGACTATAGCCTGTACTACCTATATCGTCATTTCTAGGTAGATTAGCATATAAAATTAATAACGAGTATGTCTTACTAATACAAAATATATATTTATAAATTATATAAAAGATATTAAATAAAAAGTCTTTTTCTTGAAATTTAATCAAATTTAACGCTTGAAGTCTTCTTGTTCCAATAACAATGGAAGGTTTTAAATAATAATCCTGACAGACTAAAATGGTACTAAAATGGTTTTCTACGAAAATATGCTTATAATTCAATCAAAATAATGCCCTAACAGACAAGTCTATTACGAAAAGGAATGTTATAAAAATATTAAATAAATCCAACAAGACATATTAATGCGACAATAGGTTTTATGAAAATAAAATATAAATTCAGTGAACACAAAATATTAGTGAATCTTGAATGGATCTTTGATGCAAAATCTCTTTATGGTGCTCATTCGTCTTTTCAATTTTAGATATTAAAATTGTGTTTCGCAAGAGATATATTTCAAACTGCGCTATATTCTATAATATTAAAGATTTGAAGACGAATTCTGTGAAAGCTGCTTACTTAGAGTGTGAACAAATACATTCTTGGAATTGGAGTTTAATAGTATAAAATGAATGCAATTTAAGAGGCATCTACCACTGTCTATAGTTTACGCGAGTAGTACACATTTAAATAAAACACTTTAACGGTTTAAAACGCGATATATTAGTTAAACTTATTTGAAAATGATTTTTAACTTCGGCCCGACGTTTCGGATGCTTTGCAGCAGCCGTGGTCACGGGGAGACACCCGCGTTTTAAACCGTTAAAGTGTTTTATTTAAAAGCATCTACCACTACAAAATATTAGAAATTAATACTTCATTAATCTTTGCTTGTATCTTGAAAAACATTAATGAGATCTTATTGATTTTATATTCAGGTAACTTTCAAGTAACACTATATATAATGTTATAAACCTACTAAACTCTTGCTACCTATGTTTATTGATTCATGGTATTTTCTTCACATATGAATTAAACTAAAATAAACGGTTTAGAACGAAATAGTTAATTATTCTAGTAGTAAAGTTAATTATTATTTAACTATTCTACGTTCCGTCCTAATAATCGTCCTGTCTATCACTCCAAAGCTATTTACATACTTGCAAATTATAAATTTCGCGTTTACAACCGATGTGTTTTTTAATTCCATCCATAAGTATCCAATTTTAGAGTGATATCGCGGGACGATTAATAAATTTCGCGTATAAAACCAGTGAAAGTATTTTTTTTAATTCTCTACAAAATTCATTTTTAAATCGTCTTCGGCTTGTTGTATAACTTTATGAATTGAATATTTATATAAAAGATTTAAGCAATTTACAGCAATGTAACCTCACCTTTTGTTAACAGTGTATTTTAATTCCTTGTTAATGAAATACTGTACAAACCTAAAGCCATTACAAATTTAACGACGAAAACAATACCTGAACTATCATCATTAGGGAGAACAAGAAACGCTATCGCATTTCATTCCCGCTGAAAACTTAATCAGAACACATTCACACAATTGCAGAACCAAGTACGGTGTAATATATCTTTAACATAGTTGACCTTACAGGAGTTTCAGTTTAATTGTTCCGGCTGTGAATTGTATTCATACTGTACGTTGAGATATGACACTCCTGTACTAATGTCAACTTTTGAAGCGTTATTAGTTATATGTCGGTTCAAATGCTCAAGTCTCATGACTGAATTAAGAGGAAAATATATATCAATATCACGTCATCATTATACTTTTTACATCTGGGGGGGGAAGGAAAAAAAAAGGGGAAAATTTTTTCTTTTTTAATAATTTTTAAAGGGGAAAATTTTTTTTTTTGGAACGCGCTAATCTCAGTAACAGCTGATTCGAATTAAAAATGATTTCGTGTTGTCTGCGAGATTGAGGAATTGAGGAAGCCCTGTGACTAATACAAGCGAAGATACAGCGGGAAATGTGAAAAAAATTGGGTAAATTATTCATCATTATGGGTTACTGGGGCGTACGGTGCAAAAACAGTTTAAGATATGTTTAATCTTTACAGATTTAAAAAAAAGTTCGCGACAACATATGTCTATATTTTAAGAGTAACTTGTAAGAAAGACGGGAAGGGACGCAAACGACGTCGTGTGTAACAGCTTAATTGTATAAAGATGAAGGGATTTGCAAAAACGAATTTGGATGCCTAAAATAAATATTTTTAGCGGACAAGTCGCTGGCACAGCTAGTCTTTGACTATCAAAAGGAAACTATTCCTTTGCGTGCGTTGCGAAAACAGTTCAACATACCCAAAAAATATGCATGAAAGTGTGATGCCTTTATAAATAATCCAAAAAAAATCTGCGCTAGTATATATGTGTATCGATGGCGGGCGACATCTTGGATAAGGGCTATAATTTATAAAGGTATTTTATGCGGACGAAGTCGAACAGCTAGTGTAAAATGTACTGTGTAATAACTAAAAAATCCATAAGCCAAAAACAAGATATTGAGATTTAAATAAAACACTTTAACGGTTTTAAACGCGATATATTAGTTAAAAATCCGAAACGTCGGGTCGAAGTTAAAAATAATTTTCAAATAAGTTTAACTAATATATCGCGTTTTAAACCGTTAAAGTGTTTTATTTAAATGTAGTACACATTTAAATAAAACACTTTAAGGTTTAAAACTCGCTATAGACAGTATTTAAGATATTGAGATCTTTTAATTTACCACTTACACATTTCAAGTACAATAAGTATCCAATATCAAGCACCCCAAACTAATAAAGGCTAACTTCCAAACACACTGTTTTTACCCCTTGTATCGCAGTTAGCAAGCGCGCGCCAACTTGCAACAAGAGATTCGGAAACTTTGTGGACAAGATTACTCCGCTAACTATCGCTACGGTCGCTTATTTGCTAAGCTTTCAATGCCTCTTTATTTATTGTTTTCCTCTACTATCTACTCAGTGCGTATTCAATAGTTATTGTATACACTTGACTGAGCTAAAGATTCACGACTAAAGTCACTCACTATAAGTATAAATTAGAAAATCGATTTTAGATTGCAAAAAATTTACGACACGGGCAGGACTTGACCTGGCATCAACAGCGTTCTATGCTGTTGGTCTAACTAAGGAAATGGGTCGTATTTTTTCAATTTAAAATCGTTTTTTTTTAAAGCCATCGTGAAAAATATTAAAGTTCTCAAACATACTCACTATTACATTGACTTGACTTGGCCGATATTTATTCTAACATATTGTCTACTTACGTGAACTATATTTTGCATATTGTACATATAATAAATTCGACACATTATAATTAAGTTCATAACGAGAAAAGTTGTTAATAAATTTTAGCTAAACATTTTAAACTGTGGCAAGATGATTTTAATGCTTTGCCATGATACACACAGCTGTTGCAAAGTCGCAACGTCGCGTCGTAGTTAGAAAAAGTTAACTTTATATAGTTTTAAATACAAGGGTGGTTGAAAAATTTAATATTTTTACTCCAGCTATATTATATCATCTAAACAGGATGCCCTGTTGACCTATTTGGAATGTTTAAAAGAAAATGGAAGGAATTATATAAATGCCAATCTTAATTTGTAGGTGCTAATCTTTATGGCCAGTCCCCTAAATAAAATCTAGCAAAATCAAACCCTAGGTCCTGACTCTAACATTATCCTATCTTTATATCAAATTTGAACTTTATCGATAATCTGAAATTGAGCCTGGTTTAGATTCGTCCACTCTCAGTGATAAAAAGAACGATTTTTTGACTTTAATAGCAAAAATATTGCTTGTGATATTTTTACCCGCGTGTCGTGTCTAGTCCTGGATAAGTGGATATTTTTGCAAACAATTTTTGCCTCCTCGAAGTTTTCATATCTACATCTAGACCAACACTGCTTCCATATTAGTAATAGTAAATCATATAAACAAAAAGTAAACTTTATTTCATTCAAAAGAAATTGTTCTTATACCAAACATGTATCATGAAGGCTCATAATAAATATAAAAAAAAACTTCCCCATGCCATTTTTCGTATCATTAGTAACATTAACTCCTTTGATCCTTTTGTGGAGCGAGTTTCCTTATAAAAAGATCTTTAACGATACTTCCATAGCAAATTGAGATAATTTCGCTGTTTGCTTGTAAAGCGTTTGTATGTTCGAAGAACTCTAAGTAGAGGTGATTGGTGTAATATAACGGCGTCGAATCTTCATAAATTATAGACGATTCACACAATAAGTTTATGTACAGACATTTTATTTCGTCTTTAGGAAAGATACATTTTGTTACGGTTTTAGAAAATTCAAAAGCTAAAATTGTGTTTCTTTTTCGTTGAATTTTCTATTATTTAGCCTTTAAGAAATATAAATGAAATAATTTTTAATAAAAAATAAACATTATTTAATAAATATCTTTATTATTTAGTTCTAAATTCGGTGACTAGTAAAACAATAACTTATCTGAAAGTGATTTTTAACTTCGGCCCGACTTGGGGGAGTCCCCGTGACCACGGCTGCTGCAAAGCATCCGAAACGTGGGGCCGCAGTTAAAAATCATTTCCAACAAGTTTAAATAATACATCGCGTTTTAAAACGTTAAAGTGTTTTACTTAAATTGTACTAGTCGCGTAAACTATAGACAGTATTTAAAACAATAACTCTCAAAAAAACGGACGTCCTATCGTCGTCGTCCTATAGTCGATTATAAGTGGGTCTATAGTTTAATATTTCTGAAAAAAAAGTTATTGTTAACTTTAGGTCTCTTTCAAAATACAATGATTT